ACACCAGTGTCACCCCTTGTGCCTCACTTACTCCTTCCCTTTTTGACCTCCCCGTGCACTTTGCTAACTTTTTGTCACCGCTGGGTGCTGCCAGCCCTGCTGCCACCTCTGTGGACAGGAGCCCTGGGGAGACAAGCCATGTGGTGCAGCCACACAAAGCAAAAGAGGAAAGGGCTTTTTGTAAATGGGCTGGGCACCCACCACCTGCAAACTCAGCTGCCCAAGTTTGCCATCTCTGTTCCCACCTTGAGACACCCCTGGGTGACACCAGGATGCCCCAGTGGCACCCTTGGAGCTGTCCCAATGGCACGCTTTTCCTGATTCGAGGTCCTTGTGCCATCCTCTCCCCGCAGCCCCCCCAAGGAACCCAGTGCTGGTGACCTCGACTCCATCACCTTCTTCTCCTTCTCGCTCATCGAGGGCTACATCTCCATCGTGATGGATGCAGAGACCCAGAAGCAGTAGGTGCTGTCCCCGGGTGTCCCCGCCCAGCACTGGGGTTCTGCCATGCTCAGTTCCCCCCTTTTTAGGTTCCCCAGCGACCTGCTGCTCACCAGCTCCAGCGGGGAGCTCTGGCGGATGGTGAGGATCGGTGGGCAGCCCCTGGGCTTTGGTGAGTGCCATCGCGGGTCTGCACTGGGGTACAGGGATTTGGGGACCCCTCCTCTGCCACCACTGTGTGTCACCATGTTGGTGACACCATGGTCTCGTCGCCTCTCCAGATGAGTGTGGCATCGTGGCACAGATCGCCGAGCCGCTGGCTGCTGTTGACATCTCAGCCTATTATATCAGCACCTTCAACTTCGACCACGCCTTGGTGAGCCCGGCACGTGGCACCGCGGCTTCCCCGCGTCCCCCAGTGGGGCTGACAGATCTCTGTCCCCACAGGTCCCTGAGGAGGGCATCACGGAGGTCATCGAGCTGCTGCAGAAGCGCCAGGAGAGCAGCAGATAGTGGCCAGGTGTGCGGTGACACCGTGCCAGTCCCCTCCTGCACAGGGTTGTCCCCAGCACGGTGTTTGTTGGTCCTCATTCCTAAGCCTTTCCCTGGTGCTGGGCAGAGCCCGGTGGCTCAGCATCACTCTGCCCATGGGGGGGACACGCAGGGGGACACTGCTGTGACAGTGTTAGTTGCAGAGTTAGTTGCCTTCCTCTGCCTTGGGCTCCTGCCCAGTGTTCTCAGGGTGCAGAGGGTCCCACGGAGGGGATTGGGGTGGTGGGGAGCAGGGGTCTCCGGAGCAATGATGTGCCACAGCCCCAGCAGAGGTGACAGCATGTGCTGCCTGTCCCCATGTGGGTGTCTGCGTGGGGTGGTGGCTGTGATGCTCCTGGGGGCCGCAGGAGGGTCAGGGCAGCACTACAGCCCCCTTGGGGTGGCCCGGTGTCCCAGCCATTTTGCATTGGGGGGGGGGGGGGCAACGGGGCTCCCCCGGCCCCTTTCAAGTTGTACACACTTTTTAATTGTCAATAAAAGTCCTATTTTTTGTGGTTTGTTTTTTTTTTTTTTTCTGAGTGCACCTTGGCTGCAGCTGGGACCACCCTACAACCTGTCCCCAAGCGGCAGCTTGGTGGCACTTCTGTCCTCATTGCAGCTGCTCGGGATGCAGCACAGCAGGTGATGGCTTTGCTGCACTGATGTCACCCAGGGGATGGGGACACACTCGGGGCAGTCCTGTGACACATTTGGGGCAGGAAGTCGGGCCAGACAGCTGCCACCATCCTGACACCACCACTATGAATAGCAGCAGGGTCCCTCGCCCAGCAGGGACCAGCACTCATCCGACATCCCTGCGTGTCTCCACTGTGTACAGCTGTGAGCCCTCGGCTTCCTGCAACGTCTATGAGCTCTTTCCTGTCCCACTCTCTGTTTTCCAGGAGTCATGAGACAGCAGTGACGTGAGCCCCAGAGATGAAGAAATTGCAGTCAGCCAATGTGGTCACACGCTCTATTTTCAGCCCCGTTGGATATTGGCACATCCCTGCACACTGTCCCCAAAGGCCACCAGCCGTTAATGGCAGTGATTGCTGAGTCCCTGTCACGGCCTGTGGGGACCCTGTGAAGTCCTGGAATGGGGTGGTGCGGTGTGGTGGTGCTGGGGTGTCCTCTGCCTGCATGACTTGGTCTCAATGACTTGGCCATGGTCCTCTACTGGTATGGTGAGCCCTGCAGGGCTGTGGGCCTCAGGGCGGATGGATGGATGGGCAATGGATGGATGTGAGAGAGGAGAGATGGGCAGAGGGACTGAGATTATTGGATGGATGGATGGATGGATGGATGG